GCCACACCTGCCATGGGCAGAGACACCTCCCACCAGCCCAGGTTGCTCCAAGCCCCATCCAACCTGGCCTGGGACACTCCCAGGGATGGAGCAGCCACAGCTGCTCTGGGCAACCTGTGCCAGTGTCTCAGCACCTCACAGGGAAGAATTCCTGCCCAATATCTAACCAAGACCTGCCCTAAGTGGTGGGGGGTGAGTTGTGGTGCTCAGCCATGGTGTTCAGCCATGCCTGGGGCAGGTTCTGGCTCAGTGTTTCCCAGAGAACTTGAGCAGACTGTGTGGAGCTGCTGAGCCAAGCCTGTCCCAGGGAGGTGCTCAGCACTAGGATGGAGGTGGGCCAAATCCCTCTGGTGGCACAGGTTCCCATCTGGAGGCATGGACAGATTCCCAGTCATGCTCACCTCCTATTTCTGTATTTGTGTTACATTTAGAGACATTATTTTTATTCCTATTATTTAATATTCCATTTCAAAATTTTGATGAATTCAGAGGAGCTGCACAGGCTTTTCCAAGGCTGCTGTTGTGGATGCAAGGCAGTCATGTGCACACACTCCAGCACGATGAGATGATGAAAGACCATTTTAATCTGTCTCTGATGCCTCTGAAATCAACAGGATTAAACTCTCCTTTCTGCTGTCATTAAACCTAATGTAAAAAGCCCACGATGCCCCAAGCCCTTGTGCTCTATACACTGTTAACTACTGAAATGAATTGTGCAGGAATGTACATGTAAGTTGCAGATGGAATTGGTCTCCAGGGATATGGAAACAGGAATTTCAGAGTGCTCATGAGTGTTTCCCACTGAGCAGCACTGAAACTTGAGGGGCTGTGAGGACTCTGCTGCTGTGCTCTGTAATTAGAAGCACCTTCAGCTCCAGAGCTGGGATTGATGGTTCCTCGGTGTTTCCTTATATCCAGAGAGCTCATCAAAGTTAATGGTTTTGCCAGAGGCCCTGACAGATGCAGAAATAAGAAGCTGTCGTTGCCTGAGGTGTGAACATCAGCTCAGGCTGCAGAATGGCTCAGTCCCTTGTTCGGGGCTGAGGTACAAGTGCCTCCAGTTAGGTTATGGTGCTGCAGGGAGCACAACAAACATCCCTCTGACCTCTGCTCTCTTAAATGCTGCATTTGTCAGCCTCCTTTCCAGCAAGTATGGATTAAAGTTCCGTTGTACCTCGCAGGGTAATTTCTTTATCCTTCTGCTGCTCATGACTCCAGGAATTCCTGTGCTCCTCACTGAAGGGGGTGGGGGGAAAGAAGAGAAATACTGAAATTTTTCTTTTTCTTATGTTTTGGTTTGGTTTTTTTCTCCAGCTGCTTGCAGTTCTCTCCCCTTATCCCAAGGGATTCCTGCAGGTCTCACCTCTCAGTGTGCTGAGGTTCTGGCACAGGTTGCCCAGAGCAGTTGTGGCTGCTCCATCCCTGGAAGTGTTCCAGGCCAGGTTGGATGGGGCTTGGAGCAACCTGAGCTAGTGGTAGGTGTCCCTGCCATGGCAGTAGGTTGGAACTAGATCTTGAAGGTCCCTTCCAACCCAAATCAGTCTGGGATTCCATGGGTCTGTGCTGGTCCCAGTAAGGGTCAATAATGAGCTTTGGCACCTGCAATTGTAGAAACACAAATCAGTGAAGGGTTTAGAGTGTGGAGGTTCCAAGTGTTGTCCATATTATTCCAAAATGCAGAGGAGATGGGAGAGAACTGTTTGAAAGCCCATGAATAGTTAGTGCAGCAATGGGACAGTAAATCCTGAAGCTTGGGTCATGCCTGGGCAATGTGTTATTCCCAGAGTCTGCCCTAAAGTTGGGATATGTCCCTGTGCCAGCTCAGCTTGGAAATGAGGGTCTGGAAATGGGGCCCAGAGGCTGCTCCTGGGACACCTTAATGTCCAGCTGGAAGGAGCTGATGTGGTGTGGGTCCTGTGTGGGTCTCTCAGTTTCTGACAAATGGTTCTGTGCACAGTTAATGAGAAATTAATGCTCCAGTTTGACCTCAGATTTGGCAAGAGTCACGAATTCTCCAGGATTGAGTGGCTGCTTAAATTAGCACAGTTCTAGCAGCAGCCTCAGCTTACTAATTTATCCTGAATAATGTACAGGAGCAATGTAGTGATTTTCTGTTCTGAGCCTTGTCCGAGCAGCCTGTGCCTCCCTGAATGGAGCTGTGCTCGAAAGTTATTGGCACAGTATTTCCCCTTGCATGGAGTTTGTGATGAATCACAGCAGAACTGGAGGTGTGGCGTTTAGTCTGAAAGAAGCAAACTGAGCTTGCAGTGATCTGCTCTGAAGGCATTAATCTGTCCCTGCAAATTCTTCTGTTGAGGGCCATGTTTTCATTAGCTTAACATTCCTGGCAATGCTCATTGGCTGCAAATCAATGGGGATCGTGGCCAGGAAGGAGCAGGGATTGAGCTGCACACAAACCTTCTTGTTTCACCCATGCAAATGGGCACAGGAAGAAGAGTTTAGCAGAGTAATTCATAGGATCATTGAATCACTAAGGTTGGATAAGCTCTCTGAGATCACCAAGTCCAACCAGCAGCACCACCACATTCACCAGGAACCAAGTCCTCAAGTGCCTAACGAGTGTTCTGGGAAAGAGCTGAGAAAATGGCCCAGGTTTTTAAAGGCATTTTGTTTACTGGGATAACCCCCACCATTTCCTCCTGGTTTGAACAGGCTCTGGCTCCAGGCTGGATGCTCCCGTGGGGCCCCTGATGCCGACACAGGTCACTCGTGTCACTGCGTTGTCTGCACCGGCAGTGACCTTCATGGCAACCAACCTGATGGATCAGACACTGCCAGGTGGGTCACCTTCCTCTGTCCTTGCTCTGTGACTGGGGCCATGCTGTGTGTTTGTGTCCTTCCCACCAACCATCCTTGCTGTATCCCAGGGAGATGGGAGACTGTTAAGGAATCCCGTCAGATTTGAAGATGTTTGTGTTAGCTCATTGCAGTGTCCTCAGCGTGATTTGGATCCTGTTTGCTCTGGCAATTGGCTGTAGCCAATATGATGATACAAAAGGCAAGTCTGACACACTTTCCATGTCCCACACTGGTGGTATTCACCACCACTGCACTGATGGTGTGACACCTGGGGGACAGTTGGTCCATGAAACCTCCTTGGCTGCAGCCTCTGAGGACACCTCTTGCTGCACCATGTGAGACAAGTGGTTAATCTCCTGTCATTTCAATGTGTATGTGTTACGGGACAAGGGGCAGTGCTGTTCCCTAAGGCTGGAGGTAGTCTTGTGGCCTTGTTCAGATTCACATGCACATGTTGCAAATGGTGAGCAGATTTTGGTAGGAAATTTGGAACATCTTCCCTAATGATGAGAAATTCCTCTTGTAAAGGGATTAGGCTTTGTTGCTCAGGAGGTTGTGGAGTGGGATCTGTGTCCCTGAAGCAGTGGTGGTGGGCTGAAGTGGAATCCCTGGAGTTGAGGCATGGACCTGGCTGGTGTAGCCAGCACTGAAATCCCACACTTGGACAGAGTAAGAACCACCAGAGGAGGAGTGGAGCAACTAGGGAGGGGTTTGAGGTTAGCCTCAAACCCCAAAGCAATCAGGTTGTGGGGAGAGACAGAGCTGACCTGCAGAGATACTGGGGGATGAATGTTCAGCTGTGTGCAGTTAAGCAAACCCAATTCTCAGAAGCATTTAGAATCAAAACTTTAAACTCTTTTTGAGACTAATGGAGGTTTGGCCTCTCCATACCTTTGCAAAACACATTTTTGTTCTGCCTTGCCCACAGCTCCTTGTGGCACAAATCAATCTCCCTTCTCCCTCTTCCCCTCCTAATTCTACTTCTAATAAGGTGTTTATGATCACACACCAACATTCTCTGTGATATACCCGAGGTAGTTTCACTGCTTCACCTTTCCTGTTCACACTGTGAATTATTCATGTGCCTGTACCTGCCGTGGAGCCTTGCAGAAGCCTCTTTAATCACACACCTTGATCCTCCTCTCCAGCTCATCCTTCGGCAGAGGTGCAGCCACCATGGGAACACAGCAGGTCTGACTGTGCTGCTAAGTTTAGGGGCAAAAATGGGGCTGGAAACATGTTGTGGAGGCTGAACTGTCAGGCTGCAGTTTCTGCACTCAAAGAGGAGGGAAAAGGGTTAATGAGGACAGAGTAAGCCTGAGCAGAGACAGTTAGCAGTGGAGGGTGGAGGTGTGTTGTGCTGGCCGTGGGCAAGGAAGGGGAGATCTGTATGGAGCAGGAAGCCCTAGCAGGACGCTGTTTGGTGCTCTGGGAAGCAGAGTGGGGCTGTGGGGCAGTGGATGGGGCACCCACCACCCTCCTCACTCTGTGTTCTCCAGGGGCTCAGCACCCCCCTGGCACAGCCACTCTGAGCCCACAGCCTTGGTGCTCTTGCCCTGAGCTCTCTGTGGATTCCTGAGCTCGAGCAGGAAGGCACAAGCTGAAATTGCTTTTCCCTTTACATTATCCTTAGGGGAAAACATTCAGTGTTCAACTGTAGATATAAAACTAAATGGCTCCTGCTGTGCACAGGCACTTCCAGGACTTTCTCTTGCTATTTTAGTTTCAATGCTTTTCTAGTTTCAGTTTATTTGCTCTGTGCTGACTGTCCAAAGTGTCGTGGCACTGTGTTTCCCCTGTGAATGCCTGTGGAGCTGTCTGGAGCTCACCCACATGTGCAGCAAAAGCTGCAGCACCCAAGTGTCTCCCTGGGGCTTCTCTTT